ATCATAATTTATTGAAAACTTATTTAAAATATTCATAGTTTACAAATCAATTAAATAATATAATCATAATTCTATAATCAAGTAATTGAATCAATTAATCATAGTTTACTTATCAATTAAATTATTGTGTAAATATGATTTACTAATCAATTAATCAATTAATTGATGAATTATAACTTTTTAATCAATTAAAAAATTTAATTAAGTGTAACTTAATTCTCAATTAAAGAGTATAAGTATACTTGAGTAATCAATCAATTAATTACTAAACCATAATTAATCAATCAATTAATTAACATTATGTTAAATGAGTATAAGCATAATTTATAAAGAAATCAACTAATTAATATGATTAGTATTTATCAATTGATTAAATAATATAGGCAAAAATTTATAATAATTTAATTTTAAAAAATAATTAAATTATTATAAATTAATTAAAATTTACTCAACAATTAAATATAAGTATGACTACTAAAACAAGTAATTATTATAATTGTAAATAATTTTAATTTTTAATCAATTAAAGCACAAAATTATAATTTAGTAATCAATAAAATAATCAATTTTATCATAATTTATCAAAAAATTATTTAAAATATTCATAGTTTACAAATCAATTAAACAGTATAATCATAATTTTATAATCAAGTAATTGAATGAATTAATCATAATTTACTTATCAATTAAATTATTGTGTAAATATGATTTACCAATCAATTAATCAATTAATTGATTAATTATAACTTTTTAATAAATTAAAAAATTTAATTTCGTATAATTGAATTCCCAATTAAATAATGTAAGAATAAAATAAAGTATGTAAATAATTAATTAAATAAATTAATCATAGTTTATAACTTAGCAATTAAATATTCTACTATGATTACTAAATCAATCAATTATAATCACTATTCATATTCTTATTTTTTGAATTAAGTAAGCAATGTGTAATCAATTAAGGCATAAAATTATTATGTAATATCCCAAAATTTTGGGAATTTTATCAATTAAGTTGAGGACCTTTGTGTGAGAAAATGTTATTGAGGGGCTTAATAGTCAAATTTTTAAAAGTTGGGGGACTAAAAAGAAAGAAATTAGGATAAGGATGAATTGCCTTTTTCTTTTTCTTTTTCTTCTTTCTTTCTTCCTCCTCAGACCCGACTCTGCTCTTCTTCTCACTGCAGCCCGAAATTTCCCCCCAAGATGCCGGTGACTTCCTCCCTTGAAAAATCGGTAAAGCTTGATGATTTTCCCTTATTTTCTTGTCCAAGAACCTGATTTGGAACCCAGAAATCTTTCCCCCCTGCAAGAGCTTCCGGATCTACCTTGCTCTGCTTCTTCACCGCCGGCTGTTCCTTGCTTGTGAGTGCGAATTGCCTTGATTTTCTGGTAAGAAACAGCCATTAAATCATCTTTTCTCACTTGAATTGCCTTGGGTTTGCCTTAATTGCTCTTATTCCCTTCAAATTTTGCAAGCCCCGTGAATTGCTCCTGCACTTGCGGCCGGCTTCTCCCCCCAGCCCAGCTCGGTTTTGCTTGCTAATTTCTGGTATGGACAGCCCTTTTAAGGCTTAAATTATCCATTTAGTTTGCTGGCTATGTTGTCCGAATTTGACAGAAAGTTGGGGAGGAATTCCGGTAGTTTTAGACCATGATTTAGCTTAATTCAAGTGGGTTTTTGTTTAAATTTAAGTGCAAACTGCTTGAGTTGATTGCTGTGTGATTTTTGGAGAAAAATCCCATGAGATTAGTTATGGTTTTGCAAATTTGGGAGTTTAGGTTACTGTTCACGAGGTACTGTTCACGGGCACTGTTCACACACCGAGGGTCAACAATTAACGGGGATTTAAATGTTTAGTTTGTGATATAAGAATGAATTTGGAGATGTCCGGTTATGTGAAGATTGATAGAAATAGCACCGAGATTAGGGGTAATGCTAATGATGATTTTACCTTGAATTTGTGGTAGTGCGGTATTAACTGTGAAATATTGTGATTAAGTTTTGATCATTCTGTCACCGTAGCACTTGGGTTAGCCTTCTGTTTTGTGCGAGTGAGGTAAGTAAATTATGGTAAAGCTCTTCGATTTTAAAGCATGTTTTAAACTGTTTTTGAGATGGTTGCAAGGTTTAAATTGATTTTAAATTGATTTTATCAGTAGTTGAGTGTGATTAAACTGAAATGGAAATTGTGATGATTTTATGGGAATTTCATTGTTTTTCGGGAATTGAGCGTGATTAGCATGAAAACGGGAATTTCATTGTTTTTTGGAATTGAGCATGATTGGAACGAGATTGTTTTTATTGCATCGAGTAGAGCATGCCTATTTGGAATTGACTGAACTGTTTTGAGGAATTGAGAGTTTTGTAAATTATGATTTTCTGTTAAATTCATGCCCACATGGAATTTTCTGGTTATTTCTGAAATTACAGATTTCGATTTTGAATTTCGGATTTCGATTGTGGATTACGGATTTCGATTGTGAATTTGGGATTTCGATTGTGAATTATGGATTTCTTTTGTAAATCTTGCATGATTTTGTCTCTGATGTGGTCATGTTTCTGATGATCCTGCTAGTGAGGGTTAAACGTTAGCACATGTCGGGACATGTTGATACGTTATTGATGATCCTGCTAGTGGGGGTTTAAACGCTAGCACATGTCGGCACCTGTCGATACGTTATTGATGATCCTGCTAGTGGGGGTTAAACGCTAGCACATGTTGGCACCTGTCTATATGCTATTGATGATCCTGCTAGTGGGGGTTAAACACTAGTAATTTCTGTCGCCCGACAGTGGGTGTTACACGCTAACCATGACTGATAGATGAGACTACTACTGAATTTGATTATGATTCTGCATTAACGGTTTGTCAGGAAACGTTTTGTTATTGAACTGAATCTGATTTTGCATTGACGGTTGTCATTGAACGTTTTGCTATTGAACCAAATTTGATTTCCGCATTAACGGTTTATCAGTGAATGTTCTGTTATATTTACATGGTTTATCTGACATGTTAAAAGTTTTACCCAAGGGCTATCCATATTTACTTACTGAGTTATCTCATAGTTTTCTTTGTCCACCATTTCAGGAATCAAAACCGAGGACGGGGAAACCGAGGGGAGTGACGAGTTAGAAGTCTAGCCATCTTGTAATTGAATATGGATTTTAGATGTAAATGATGATATTGCAAGCTAGATTGTAATTGGAGATCGTATAAATTCATTTAGTGGATTGTTAGTTTATAAGAGATTTGATCTGGAGATTTTGAGGTTCTCATGTCGGACATAGAATTATTTTGGGATAATTGATTTGAGTCATTGGATTGTCAGATGTGATTTGGATAAGTTCTGAGCCTTGTGCACTTGTGGGACCCGTCTCACGAGTGCACGGCGTCTGCCACGTCCCCGGATTTGGGTTC